AAATTCAGAAAATTTATCCTAGATTTTGCATACTATGAATGGGAATTATATATTGTGCACAAGCAGGTCTAGATGCTTAATGCATAAACAGGATGACATTCTAAATCCATTGGTGTAACAGCATCGCAGGTAGGTGGTATTACTACGGAATCCAGCAAAATAAATCAATGATTCATCATTGGATTAAATCATCTTAAACATGCTACAAATCTTACTTGGAGAGCTAGTTATTAACAACAAACAATTATTCTGATTTTTGGCTTCTTCAATTGTCTATAATAGACAACAGATGTATGTGGGAGAATGTTTCGCAGTATTTCATCAGCCTGTTTGTGTCTCCTCTCTGGCTTTTGCCTCCAGTAATCTCCATGTGGGAAAAAGCTATGTTGGCATTTTTACGTTTTCATTAGTGCATGAAATTGATAATGGTAGGCCATGTAAATGACATTTATGCAAAGTACTAAGTTTTACTTGACATAAAAATTTAGGCCACCCAAATCCCATAAAAAGAACTGTTAAATACTTCATTCCTGAATTAATTAACCCATGATAGGTTGCAATTTTATCATTTATTTTATTATTAATTTCCTCTATTACCTGACTTGATGTGAATTAATTATTAGATTCTACTCACTTTTCGTAATTTGTATTTATTTCAGGGAGTAGAATGAAAATATAATAACAGGTGCCAATTTAGCAGAAAAAGGGTCCAAATGATAGAACTTGTCCCAAGGGCATTTTTGGAAAAGAAGACGTTGTGGCTATTTTGGTAAAATTGCGGAAGAGGGCAGCGGACGGATGAGCTTGGATTAGGAGACCGCCGCACAAACGATGGAAAGAAAGCAAGAGATAGACTACTATATAAGAATAGAAATTGCAGAGGAGCGGGGGCCCCGGGGGTGGAGCTTTTTGCTCTTTGACCTTTCCTTGGTTGGCTTCCCTGTAGCTTAAATTCTCGCATGTCAATTAGGCAGAGTGGAATGATTTCCCGTAGCCTTTCATTTTGACTTTTACCTTTCGTCCTTTGTGGTTACCGCAAGATGGCCACAGCTTTTGCTGCAATTTTGTATGGGTTTAGTTCATCAAACATGAACTAATTTCTCCACTCTAGTCAAGGGACAATGGATGCTTTGGATTGTCTAAATTTGTGAGATCGATTTAATTTTATCTTTTTCTTTTATTTATTGGTATTTGCATATTCTTTGATTGCAGTGCTTATGATTATTTAATTAATTGATTGTCTTGGATCCGGATAATTAATCAATTTAATAATCTATTGTCAATTGAGGTATTGAATCCGTAATTGTTTAATTGCCTCAAAATAGTGACAACTGGCATAATTAGACTTGTGTCAGGGGAATACGCGGGTTAATCTAAAATAACCCTGGTAGTGCGTTATTTGATTAGAATAGGGCTCCTCTAATACGCAAGGCAATTGGGGAATTAAATTCTATGGGCGTACCTAGGATTATTTCTCAATTAGAGCAGTGATTAACGGGTGTACCTTAATCACCGACACAGTAAGGAGGGGTTGACTGCCATCGCTTGTTTGGCAGTTATAACCTATTTATTAGTGAATAATTGGAATTGCCTTTGCTTATCGATGATCAGTTAGGTGAACCATTGCTGAAGTTATTTCTTGGCTAGATCCTTAATTATCACTCATTTGATTTTAGTAATTGGTTATTTAATTTTTAGTAGTTTCTTAGATTTTATTTGAATTTATTTGATTGTCACTTTCTGCACAAAAACACCCCCTTGTCACTGTGAACTTGAAAAGAAACAATTACTCCCAATCCCTGTGGATTCGACCCTGCTCACCACTATCTACAGAAATTATTTTTAGTTTGAGCAGGTATTTATTATTGCACAGGCTGACGACCTGTCAACCCACTCTAATTCCAATATTACAATGTGTTTGTCTTAGATCCATCCTAAAAAAAATAAAGTTGGCAAAGTTATCGATAGTAATGTAGAGACAATTCAAAGTATTGATTATGTCAAACCTTTAGTCTTTAGTCAGATCTTTTTTTTTTCAGCTGTCAAAAACCTCAACCATTTCTCTGGAAAGTCCATCATGGAATTTATTCCAAATTAGAAGAAAGCATTTCTGGACTCTTACAGGTAAGTGAGTTTGTGGGGAAGGGAAGGAGGGAAGAGAGGGTTGCACACGCAACACAACAATTGACCTGCTACAATAACTCAAATCATTGATTCTAATTACCCTCTAGAGGTTGATGTTGCAGTTCACACATGTACTTTACTGATAATGTTTATAAATTCTATTTGTTGCTGCCATGCTTGACGTGTACAATTATTTCTCTGAGTTACCAACATTTTTTTTGTATATAAAAAAATTACAATATCATGATTAAAATGTAATGATATTATGAATATACAATAACTTAAGTAAGAGATGATAATACTGATCTTTGTATGTCAGAGAGTTAAAGGTATAAAGTATACCTATACGCTAAAGGTATAAAGTATACCTATACGCTATAAGGTTAAAAACAATAAACAATCATTGATAAAAAAATTCAACTTGAAAGCTATTTGACAAGATACATATCATATTTATTTTAAGGGCTTTTTTGTCAATACCCAATAAACAATCATTAATACATTTAATTTAGTTTAAAATCATTAAACCCTCCTGAACTTTACCTTCATTTGCACTTTGCCTCTCTCAACCCAATAAATAGGCACTTTGTCCCCATTTTATGTTTTAGGACAAAAGTACCTTTTTCATATTAATTATTATTTTATTTCTTTTTTAATCCTTTTTTGCTCTTTTTCTAATTGTCTTTTTTCTTTATAAATTTTAATTTTCCTCCTTTCTCTCATGTGATCCAATACTTTCTTCTCTTTGCAATTATTATCTATATACTATTTTTAATTATCTTAAACTTCTTCTTTGTTTATTTCTAGATTTTTTTACTTTTTGTTATTGAAAGAAATGATTACCATTAAGTCTATACTATAACAAAGTATATTATCTATGCATATAGACTATTTCATAAAGTACTTAAATCAATACGTCTAGAATTTAGAATGTAAATTAATTTCTAATAACAATAGTAACAATTTCGAATCATAATAATATAGTGGCTAATAAACTATACACAAAAAGTAAATAAATATATTAGTTACCTTTTTTGGGCTATACATATAAGTATTAAGTAATTTAAAGTTCTAGTTTGCTAATATCTTTTTAAATAGTCAAAATGCTAGTAATAGACATTTTTTATCATAATAGGCATATATTAGTTTTTTACGATATATACAGTTTGTCTTGAATTTTTTAATAGTGTAAATAAATAAAACAATAGTGAAATTATAAGTAAAAGATAATTATAATATTATAATAAGCATACAAATTAGTAACACTAATAGGAAAGTGAAACAAAATAGTGACATAAGAGAAGCGAAAAAATAGTAAAAGAAGAAAAAATAAAAATAAAAGAAAGTGATGGAAAAGGAAAAATAAGGGAATGAATAAACAAAAATAAAATAAAATAGTAAGGGCACATATGTTTTAAAATATCAAATATGGGGGCAAAGTGCTTATTTAATGAATTCGGGTGGGCAAAACACAACTATGGGTAAGGTTCAGGGGGATTATTGCATTATCAAACTTGTCATTTGTATCCATACACTTGCATTTATTGCTTGCTTACATTTAGATACCTTTTTCTTTCAAGGGTTAAATGCAAAATACCCTCTTGAACTATATACCCAGTTGCACTTTACCCCCTAAACTATAATAATCGATATTTTGGCCCTTGAATGATATATTTGGACAACACTACCCCTACTATTTTAAATATTTTCTTTTTTCTCTATTCTTTCTTTTTCATTTTTTTCCTCTTCTTCCTTTTCTTTCTATTTTTTTCTTCTTTTTTCCCTTTCTCTCATGGACCTAACCAATGTTTCCCTCCCGTGCTAAAAGACTTACATCAAAATTTTTAATTTTTTTGAAACCATTTTTTAAATTTATTTATTTGTTAAATTCATTCTTAATAATTCATCATAAACTCCTTGTTATTACAAAATATATGTAGCTTATATCGTAAAGTGTATTAATCTAGTAATTCAACAATTTAAGTACCCATAAACCAATTAAAGTTCACAATTACTCAACTATTTATAACAAAAGTAACATAATATATATCATGTAAGAAAGAAAAGTCAACAATTGTTATTTGTAGTGAAACAAAAAGATAAGAATGAACAACAATAATAGTTCATTTTTTATTTGTTATTGATACTATTAATAATTGATTAATCAATACCTCTTTTTGTTCTTATATATTGGAATAGTTAAATTTCTTAAACAATTGGAATAGTTAAATTTCTTAAACGACATTGACTTTCAATAATCGGAAAAGAAATCTTGTATACCATAGAATTCTTTTATAAAATATTGACATGCGAAATTAAGAAATAAATAAGTTTTGACTAATCTAGTATACTAATTTAAACAATGCTTAAAGAAAATAGCAAGGAAGAATCTAAAAAGAAAATGATAGGGAAAAAAGAAAAATAACAGTGCTTAAGATAAAAGGGGTAGATTTGTTCAACTATATTATGAAAAGGGTCAAAGTGCCTATAAAAATAGTTTGGGGGATAAATTGTAACAAGGTATATATTTCATGGGGGTATTTTGCATTTAATCCTTCTTAGCTAACACTAGAGACCTCCTCTATCGAGCACTCACTAGACATCTAACAGACAAAACCGTTGGTCAGATTCAACCATTCATTACTTCTTCCCCGCATAGTCATGGAGCATTTCTTTTTCCTCTGTGCTTTCCTCTTCTTCATCTTGATGCTAGTCAAAATTGCAAGGCAATCTAAGCCAGTTAAACTGCCACCAGGGCCAAAACCACTGCCTATAATAGGCAACATACATCAACTTATTGGCTCTGTACCTCATAAAATCCTAGCAGACTTGGGCAGAAAACATGGACCTCTTATGTACCTGAAGTTTGGTGAAGTCCCAACCGTCATCATCTCTTCTGCAGATGTTGCAAAAGAATTCTTCACTAACTATGATCGTATTTTTGCTTCTAGAGCCTATCTTCTTTCAGCCAGCATACTAAACTATAACTGTACCGATATTGGCTTTGCTCCCTTTGGAGATTATTGGAGACAACTCCGGAAGATTTGCACAATGGAGCTATTAAGTCCAAGGCGTGTCCAATCCTTCAGATCAATTAGGGAAAAAGAGGTTTTAAATATGATCAAGTCAATTGCTTTACAAGAGGGATCAGCCGTTAATCTTAGTAAAAAGATTTCATCAGTGACATACAGCATCACTTCCCTGGCCGCGTTTGGTAAAGGAAGCAAATACCATGCCAAATTCATGTTGGTTAGTGATGAAGCTTTGAAGCTTCTGGGAGGTTTCAGCTTAGCAGACATGTACCCTTCTGTCAAAGTTCTTGAAAGAATCACTGGAATTAGGAAAAGGCTGGAGAAGGTACACAAACAGGTCGATGAAGTACTGGAAAACATCCTCAGGGAGCACAAAGTTAAAAGAGCAGAACCAAAACCTGGAAGTGGAGAAGAAGCAAAGGATCAGGATCTGGTTGATGTTCTTCTCAAAGTTCAGAGTTCAGGAGAATTTGGAGCACAACTTACTGACAACAATCTCAAAGCAGTCATCTTTGTAAGTATTTCCATCGTTTTCAGACAATTTTCCTTTAGTAAGTAATTCCAACAAGGACAGACAAACAAGTCTTGCGATGATCAGGAATGTATAATTTGTTGATCGGCTCTTCAAGAAATTAGATTTATTTTTCTCAATTAGATGTTCCTGATTCTGTTCAGGACATGTTTAGTGGCGGTGGAGACACATCGTCAACTACTGCAGAGTGGGCAATTGCTGAAATGATTAACAATCCAAGAGTGATGAAAAGAGCACAAGATGAGGTACGTAGAATTTTTGGTGAAAGAGGAACCGTAGATGAATCGCGAATTCGTGATTCAACATACTTACAAGCAGTCATCAAAGAAACACTTAGACTGCACCCTCCTGCTACACTTTTACCTGCAAGGGAATGCAGCGAACGATGCGAAATTTATGGATACGAAATCCCTGTTAAAACTAGAGTCATCGTCAATGTTTGGGCAGTTGGTCGAGATCCCAACTACTGGACCGATCCTGAGAAATTCAACCCCGAGAGGTTTCTTGATTCTCAAACTGATTTCAGAGGGACAGATTTTAATTACATACCATTTGGCGCTGGAAGAAGGATATGCCCTGGAATATCATTTGCTTTGCCTAATATTGAGCTACCTCTAGCACAATTGTTGTACCACTTTGATTGGAAGCTGCCAGGTGCAGTTGTGAAACAAGAACAACTGGACATGTCTGAGACCTTTGGCTTGACAACCGGTAGAACACAGGATTTGGAGTTGCTTCCAATTCCTTACCACCCTTTTTCTAATAATTCGGTGGCTTGTTAGAATAAACAAGTCTGAGTAGTGAACATCACATGCTATAATCACTAAAGTAATAGTACTAATAGTACTAGTTCTCTGTGAATTTTCATTTACTATAAATAATAAGTGGATTTGATGTAGAATCAGTTTTTTTCTTTTTATTATTTTTTTTAAGGGTTAAAAACAAAAAAGCCTCCTGTGGTATACCTAATACACAGAAAAGTCTCTCATAGTTTTAAAACATACAAAACAACACCTCATGTTTTGAACTAATTTGTAAACTAACAGAATTCGTTAAACTTAACGGAATCCGGTAAACTTAACAAAAAACTTAACGGAATCCGGTAAACTTAACAACCGAAACCATCATTTTCGTTAACTTTAACGAATTCTATTAGTTTACAATTTAGTTCAAAACATGAGGTGTCGTTTTGTATGTTTTGAAACTACTGGGGATTTTTTGGTATATTAAATATACCACAGGGACCTTTTTTGTTTTTAATCCTTTTTTAAAATCTGGGCCTGAACTTGTCTTGGAATTGATTGTAAACCAATTTTTACACTTTGTGTCAATATGGTTTCAAGGGACTTGTGGCAATAAGAAATCAGGCAAAAGAAAAATTGCAGCATATATAATCAAGTATGTATCTAACATATGTGGTGTATAATTTTTGTGTACGTAACATATTGAAAATTTAGTCAGTCACTAAATCTTTCCCAGGTATACATATTTTCCTGACCAGGGCATTTGATTGAGGGAACATTATAGTCTGATGTATCTGTTTTTTGTTCTCTGCTTATCCGCTAAGAAATTTGTGGGACATTCCCATACTTTGATGCCACATGAATGAAGTATACTAATTATAGGCAATTAACCATAATGTTATAGGCCAACTGATTAGAAGTTTACTAATTAATGACATCTGAAATGCTCATATAGTACGTTAGGTGAATGAACCAAAATATTTTGTCGATGAAACAAAATAAATACTGAGGTTGTCCGTAGAAACTCCAGTCACATTGGACAAATCAACCCAAAATGTCAAAAAACTTTGGTTTCCTTCCACTAGTTAGAATACTGTAACAAATTATTTATCCATCATAATGGCGTTGAAGCTTTACATTTTCTTGTTTTTTTTTTTCCTTTCCTTCTCCCTTCATGACTCATTCCTTCACATGATCCTATAAATCAGTCGTCGGCATATTATGAGCCTGTCAAAAGGTTTTCCATCCTTCTGTGTTGGGTGTTTTACCATATAACCTTCTATGTTTTAAAGACCTATACATAATGCCCTAATGGTTTGTACTAACGTGTACTTTTCTATTTCTTATTTATCTATTTTTTATTTCTCTTTCTTCTTTTTTGTATTTGACAAACATTAAAATTTATTACAATTTAGTAGGCCAATGTATAATTGTTCAAAATCATATCTTCTCTTTCCAAAGGAGAAAGAAAAAAAGCAAAAAAATTTATATATAAAAAAAGTAGTGAAATAGTGTATTTGTCAGTTTATTAGTTTGACTTTGATTTTTGAATATTGACCATTAATTTCAACCGATAAAATTAATAATGACATTTTAATTCAAACTATGAGGAGTTTACGTACAGGTTTTAAATAATAAGGGGTTATGTGATAAAGTACTAATCGACAAGAGAAAAAATATATATACTTTATCCAAAATATACCCAAACCAAAGATATATGTAACTAAACCCAACAAAATTGTGATAGGAAACGGGTATACTTGTCAAGGGGTTCAGGTCCTCTCCAGTTGCACTTGTGTCTAGTTCTGTCCAATTACAAAAATTGATGTAATTTTGGTATCAATTGATACACTTTTAGGGGGCGTTTGGTAAGAGGGTATCGGATTCGGGGAATGGAATGAACCCCATAAATGGTGTTTGGTTCACTGGAATGGGAATTGAAATCTTGGAATGATTTCTAAAAATTTGGTGTTTCTCTATTCCCAAGTATTTTGGTGGGTTTTGTCCGATTCCCAAGTTTGATTCCAAGAAACAAATCCAATTACATATTATAATTATATTATAATTATACAATGATATAATTAATATTTATATATTATATTTATTATATATTATAATATATACATATATATAATATATTATAATTATTATATTAGTACATTATATAAATATATATTATAATTATTTAGTTAAATATAATTATATTCATATAATATATATTATAAATTTATTAATATTATATAATAATATATTTATAATATATATGTATATTTATAAATGCATATTATATGTGCATATGATTATAATATACACATGTATATAATATTAATAAATTATATAATTATATTTATATTTATATTTATTATTTTAAATACAATAATATATAATAATTACTATATCTAATATTAATATGCATTATACTGATATAAAATATGAGTACAATTAATATTTATATATTATATAATTATAATTATGTATTTATTTTATAGCGTTTGTATAATTATAATTAATTTTATATATAATATTTAATTTAATTAGTTACAAACTTATAATAATGATGTTATTGTATTATATAATTATATATTATAATTATTTAGTTAAATATAATTATACTTATATAATATATATTATAAATTTATTAATATTATATAATATTATATTTATAATATATATGTATATTTATAAATGTATATTATATGTGCATATAATTATAATATATACATGTATGTAATATTAATAAGTTATATAATTATAATAATTAATATTTTAAATATAATAATAACTATATTTAATATGTAATATATAATATATTTATATAAAATATTATTATAATTAATATTTGTATATATTATGTAATTATATATTTATATATTTATATTATAACATTTGTATATTTATATTTAATTATATATATAATATTTAATTTAATTAGTTACAAACTTATAATAATATTATTATTATTTATATGTATTATATAATGTATATTAATTTATGTAATATAATTAATATTATCAATTATACTAATAATTATACATGTTTACTAATAGAAATTATTAATTAGTTAGACTAAATTTACTAATACATTTATACTAATATATTTAATTAGTGAAGATTTCTTATATCCCATTTACAAAGAGCCAATAACTATCATTTACGATGGGGTTTATAATATATTTATTATATTCCATTCCGAAAGAGTCGACGAACCAAACATCAACTATAGTAATGACACACATTCCAGGTACTTGAACCAAACAAATGTATTGGAATGAATGACCTCATTCCAAACCCAAGATATCCGATTCCGAATCCGAATCCGATACCGATGTGCGAACCAAACGCCACCTTAGTTATAATAGTGACGTTTTGCACCAACTTAGTTACAAATTCACGTTTGCATCAAAATTGTACCATTTATACCGAACGTTTTATGGATTCCACGATAAGACATAACCGGAAATGGAGAGTCCCCATATCCATTTGACAAGAGCTCTATGTCATTGATAGACAAACCACACTTAAATATATCAACCAAATACAGAGTAATTTTCTTCTTTTTTTATCTCCAAGTCTTAATCACTACTAGATAATTTCTTCTCTATGCCAAGACCATCCCAAAATTTGATCTTTCCAATTCTCAAGGATCGGTTCTTTTTCCGTTGTACTTTCCAGAAGGATTATGAGAAATAGGAATCAATTGCACATCATGTTTTGGCCTAACTGCCAGGCCAAAGCGCTCAGACATGTCTAATGGTTGCAGTTTCAGTTCACCAGGGAGCTTCCAATCAAAACAATACAGCAGTTGTGCAAGCATCAGTTCAACATTAGGCAGAGCAAATGATATGCCAGGACATACCCTTCTTCCAGCACCAAATGGTATGTAGCCAAAATTTGTACCCCTGAAATCGATTTCAGAATCAAGAAATCGCTCTGGGATGAAATTCTCAGGTTCAGTCCAGTGCTTGGGATCTCGACCAATTGCCCAGGCGTTAATGATCACTCTAGCCTTGGCAGGGATTTCATATCCATGAATTTCACATTGTTTGCTACATTCCCTTGGCAGTAATAGTGGAAGCGGAGGGTGCAATCTCATGGCTTCTTTGATAACTGCTTGCAAGTATTTCAGTTCATGAATTCGTGATTCATCAACATTTCCTCTTTCGCCAAATACTTCTCTTATCTCTTCTTGTGCTCTTCTCATAACTCCAGGATTCTTTATCATCTCCAGCATTGTCCACTGTGCTGCTGTTGATGATGTCTCACCTCCAGCACTGAAAATGTCCTGACAGTTATAATGTTTGAGGTTATCTCATCGAAAGTAGAGATTAGAGAAGAATAAACAGCAATTGAGGTCATCTAATTACCCTGGAAATCTCTTCAATCAAAATCAAAATACGGCCAAGAATTTACAGAAGACACTTGATCACCCAAATTTTTATGTTGAAGTTGTTTCTTACCGTGGTTTAAAAGATGCAGATCGCTCTGCAATCTTTCTGCAAATATTAGTCCCAACAATTGATTGAAAATATCAAATAATAACATTTACTTACCAAGATAACAGCTTTGAGGTTGCTGTCAGTTAGGGGAGCCCCAAATTCTCCGGATTTCTGAACGTTTAGGAGAACATCTACAAGATCCTCCTTTCCTTCTCCCTTTCCTGGTTGTGCTCTTTTTTCTCTATGCTCTGTGAGAATGTTTTCGAGTATTTCATCAAGCCGTCTGTGTGTCCTCTCTACCTTTTGTCTCATTCCACTGATTCTTTCAAGTATTTTGACAGAAGGGTACATTTCTGCCAAATTGAAACCTGAAACAAGTTGTACAATATCCACCGCAGTCGATATGAACTCTTCTTGGTAGTTGCTTTTTTTACCAAAAGCAGCCTGGGCAATGATGCTATATGTCAGTGATGAAACCTCCTTGCTAAGGTTAACAACTGATCCCTCTTGTAAGGCAATTGCTCTGATCATATTTGATACGGCCTCTTCCCTTATTGATCGAAATGTTTGGACACGTTTTTGACTAAGAAGCTCCACCGTGCAAATTTTACGCAATTGTCTCCAGTAATCTCCATAAGG